GTTAACCCTTCCCCGGCCGCGGCCACCCGTGTCCGGCGAGAGGTTATTTTTAGCGGCGGGGAGGGTGGGCGCGGGCTTCCATCATGGCGCTGTCTCGCGGCCCGGACTTCCACCCCATCATTACGGGAGGGGAGTGGGAAGCGGCGATGGCGTTTTATCTTCCTCCTGGCGGCTGTGCGGTGCCAGGGCCGAAAGGTGCAGGGGCTGCGCGCGCCAGGCTCAGCGCACCTCCCACCCTGCGGAGCCGAGGGAGGGGGCTCGGACCCTGCGCCCCTCCCTCTTTTGTTCAGCTCCGCATCCCCCCGTCACGCCATCCTCTGGCACATCCCGTAGGGGGAGGGGGCTGCACGCCCGCGGGGAGAGGGACCCGAGGCTCCAGCCCCGCCCCGCCATGTGGGGCTCCCCCCTTATTGTCCCCAGAGGCTGGGGGGAGGGGGCTGCCTTGCCCAGGCCGGCCCCGCCCCACCCGTGGCGACGCAGGAAGCCTCGGGGGCGCCTCAGCCATACCCCCGTGGATCTGGACCTGGCGGCGACCATCCCCAAGCCACAAAGAACCTCAGCAGGGCGGGGCGGGGCGGGGGCGCTTACCGTGATGTGCGGAATGCTCTTCTTGCCCTGGTAAGACATGGCCCCTCCGGCGCCCTCGGCCTGGCCGCTGGACCTCCCGGCTATCTGACGCTCTGTCGGGCTCTTTCTCGGCCCCGCTACCCGCGGGCGCAGTGACAAAGGCCCGGGAGGGATGGAGAGAGGGACGGAGGCTCGGCGCCCGCGGATGCCCAAGCGCGGCTGCCCGGCTGCTCGGCCCTCCGCCGCCGCCGCCGCTCCCGCTGCCAACACCGCCCGGCTCGGCGAGGAGGGCGGGAGGAGGAGGAGAGGCAGGGCGGGAGGAGGGGGCTGCAGACAGACAGCTCCTCCCGGCGGCGGGAGCCGAGCCCGATTCGCCCCTCTCGGCTCGAACCAGGAAGCGCTTCCCTTCCGATCCCCCTACTCCGCCCCCGCCCCCACCCGCCCAGCCCCGCCGACCCCCGCCCCGCACGCACGCCCTCGGCTGCGCCCCAGCCTCTCTCTCGCGAATGGGAGGGTCTGGTTTTCAAGGTTCTTTTTAAGGCAAGAAACGGTCCTCAATGCACAGGCAGAGCCCGCGGGCAGCGCCACAGGTGTGTGGCCCTGCATCTAGGGGTCTTGCCTGATCCTGTGTACAGGGAGGAAGCCGTGGGATAGGTGCCAGGACCCTCCCAAGCTCCAAGGAGCGTTCCTGGCCGCCAGGATCGCGCCCAATGACCGCCCCCCTCCGGCCACTCCTTTCCGCAGCCTCTGTGAGTCCACCCTGCGCCACAGGCTAAATGGACCTAGCCCTTTTCCATCTTCAACTACAAGGCTCTACTAAAGCTATACCCTGTATATCCCCACCCTAGACAAAAGGCTACTCGTTTTCCCACCCCTTTCCAATGCATTCTGCCTAAAAGAACCTACCCTCCCCATTCCCATCACTAAATCAGCTTTCCCTGAAGGCCCCTAAGGCCACCCAGATGTAGCCACAGAAGAGAGACAAGGCCACAATTCATGGCTGACCTGCTGAAGGACAACAGCAACAGCTCTCTCAATACATAGAGGCCTGGTTTGGGGGCCACGGGGTCACCCCCAGACAGTGAGTGCTTGAAAGGTTAGGCCATTGCACTAAGTTTTCCATAGCTCCTGGGGACAGGAGGAGAAATAGGATGCTCCTGCCTCTCAGTTGAGTGCTCAGCAGCCCAGGGGCCCGGGATCCAGATGTTGCTCAGGGGGAGGTGGGCAGGAAGCTAGGACATAACTTGATGAACTTCATAATAAAGGAGAAAAGATGGAGGAGGAAACAAAAGGGAGACTCAGCAAGCCCTTCCTGCATTGGAAGGTTTGTGCCCCACACCACCAGGCAGGACAAAGCACCAACCTTCCTGCCACTTCTGCTAATTTTCTGCCTGCAAAACCCAAACAGGCCCTGGAAGACACATCTTCTCTACTTTCCAGTTGCCACCCAGGGAGAGGTAGGCTAGGTTTGGTAAAGACTCTCAGTTTGGGGGCTTTTGCTGGGGCCTGGAGTCTTGATCTCCACACCATGGAGGTCAATTCCCTAGTCCAGTTCCTGGATCCACAGCAGGAGATCAGAGATTGGGCCTTAAAATGGGGGTGGGGCCCTAGGTTCACAGAGGAGAACAAAAGTATTCCAAGAACACAGCCCAAGATTTTCCCATTTCATCAATGGGAATTGAGGCTTAAGGGATAAAGCTAGCAAAGGTCTCTAAGGTCAAGGGCATTAAAACATGGTGTAGTCAAAATTGAACCCAGGCTGTTAACTGGAGTTTTATCATTGTTGAGTTTGAGGAACTGTAGTTTTACTTTCTTATGCTACATTCAGAGTATTAGATGCACTGAGTATCTATCTATCATATCTGGGTAAGTATTTCTTGTAGGAAGAAGCAAGTGAAAAAACTGGGTTTTAGTAACATTACAGAATAAAAAATTATAAATAGGGTGAAATTCAACTCTACTAGGAAGGAATTCTACAGGAGGATATGAATCTCTAAATCTTAAATAATTCTTAAATAATCTCATGTGCGATGGTAAAATTGAGGCTCCAGGGATACTCAGATGTGCCCCAGGTCCAGGTGCAACGCATTCGCTGCAGAGCTGGGTCTGAAAGCCAGGCTCCTGCACACCAGGTCTAGGTGTCCCTGCGCTGCTGCCGCAGCCTGGGTCTGAGCTAGGTTCTAAGTTCTCGCTAATGACCCGAAACTGCGGGTGGGGGCCGCCTCCCTTCCTCAGATTCCAGTGTTTCCTTCCTCAGCGCTAAGTCCTAGGTTCTGGCACCGGACATTCGGTAGGGTCATTCTGGAGATCAGAGTAGGAAAGCTGCGGAGATGGGGACCCGACCACGTGCGAATTAGGGGGCGGAGCCCCTGCTCCAGGCTGGCCAAACAGATGCTGCTCCTAAGCAGACTTCGCGGGTACCAAGCGCCGCAGCCACTCAGCCTCTAGCAGAGGAAAAAGTTGCGCCTGCGCCACGGAAACCCCACCTCCCTCCCAGGAAAGCGCCGGTGGGCGGGGGAGGGGTCCCAGCACCGGCTGCAAAGCGCAGAAGCAACGAGGCCCGCCCCGGAACCCCGGCCTTCAGTAACCCAAGCCCGGCGGTCGCCGTTTCCGCAGGAATTAAAATGCGCCCCCGAGGGAGACAGGACTCCCTCCACTACTCAGACCCGACCCTCTAGTGCTTTTAGAGCCCTTCTGTCCGGTTCCCAAAAACTAGGAGAAAGGGCAAAGGGGACTGGAGCGGAGGGGGGGAGAAACTGGGAGAAGTGAGGAGACCTGAGTCCCCAGTCGCCAGGGCGCGGCGGCCCCGCGGCCCGGGCAGAACCCAGGCTTGCTGGCGTGGCGCCTGCGGACAGCTCCCGGCGGAGCACAAAGCGCCCTCGCCTCCCCGGAGGGAGCTGAGAGAGGCGGCCACCGCCTCTCCCAGAAGGAGGCGCCCAGGTTAAAGAGGGCCAAGTTCTCCGGCTAGTTCCCTCGCGCTGGCCCTGGCTTCCCTGTCTCCGGGTGGAGCTGGAGAGCCTGCATCCCAAGCAAGGTCGGCCCGCAGGGCAAGATAAAGACGGGTGGGGAGGAGGAGACGGGACTCTCGACGTCTCCCTCCCTCACCCCACCCCCCACACTCTCTCGCTTAGACCTTCGCCGCGGAGGCCCCGGATTCAGGACCGCGGAGAGCTCTCAAGCTAATGAATGGGCGGTCCCACAGGGATGTGGACCAGAGCGACACCAGCCACAGGCCGGCCCCGCTCTAATTACTCCAGGAAGCCCCCCCAGATTGCCGTCCGGATCACTCTCTGCCTCTGAGTTCCCTTTATGCCTCTCATAGCACTGGAAGGGGCAGGGTTAGTTAAAATAATAATAAAACTCCACAAACACTTCACATATACACACTCACCATCTGTGGCATTGATTGATCTAATTCTCACGATAAACCTGTCACTCAAGCCAGCCTGGGAACTTCTGGAGGGTGGGGCCGGTTGCTGAGCTGGGAACCCAGCAGATTCAGGCACTGAGTTCTGTCTGGACCAAGCCGACAGCTGGGGGATCTTTCTTCTGATTTCCAGGCGCTGGATCTAAGCCTCATCCGTCCACCCATCCCAAGGGCTGTGCGGTCCACACACCCATCTTCCCCCAGTTCCCTGGCGGCTTCCCACTTAGGGGAGAAGACCACAGTGCCCAAGCCCTGGCCTTCCTCCTCCCCGGTGCCCCCACCCCATTTTCAGAGGGACAATAACCTCCAAGCCAGGGAGGACACTGACTCCAGTTCAAAAGCCAGCTCTGTCCCCCTAACCTGCCCTGTGAGGGGGACACAGCAGCCTTGTGCCGCGGGACTCCCTGGTATCCCTTGATACCAAGGCAGCGGCTGCTGCGGGAAGGATTTTCCAGTTCTAACTACCCGACGATCTTAGACCTTAACTAAACCCTCACCCAAGAAACCAGGAGGGAAGCACTCGCGAAGGCCCTTTCCCGTTGAGGCCATGTGGCCAGAGCGATTCGCGTAACCTTCCCGGGTGCAGGGGCACAGTAAGTGTTCCGCAATTACTGAGTGAGCAAATATATGGATGGAAGAACACGGAAGGGCGCTTTCCTCCTCTGCACAGAACACGGACGAAGAGCTCTGGGTTAACTCATCCCAGAGGTTCCTTTGCGACTCAAGTGTCCATGCGGCTGCTTTACCTAACTTACTTCTCCTCTCAGAACGTCGCTTTTCCTTTCTGCAGAAGAGGAGCCTGGACGGCCCTCGGAGGTCCCTTAGGAGTCTCACGGACTATGCTGGCCAACCCGGGACGAGTCGCACAACCTCTCTGAACCTCCTGTATGATGAGGTGGGGGAGGGGCCGTTCCGTAGCTTTTCCAAGCCTGGTGGCAGCGGCCCCAGCCCAGGGTCCCCGAGGGCCCCGCCCCCCACGTCCGGTCCACGCGCTCCCCGAGGGTACCTGGCTATTGTCCCGGCCGAGTGGCAGGTCGCGGGGCGCAGGGCAACGAATGCTCAAGGCTGGCGGTCGCTCGTCGCGCTCGCCTGGTGAGCTGACGGCCGAGCCCGAGGGCTCGCTCACGTCGCTGGCCGTGTCCTCGCTGCCGCCTGGCCCCGGCAGGCCGACCGCGTCGGGCCGGCCAGCACTGCGCGGCGTGCGAGCCGAGCCGCGGCGGCCCACGCTGTACGCGTCGAAGTCGATGGTCTTGTTCTCGTAGGCGCCCTCCACGGCCGCGAACATGCCGCCGTACTTCTGGCGCGGGGTCTGCGCCGCGCTGCCCGGCCGCGCCAGGTACACGGGCAGGTCATCCTCCGTGTTCCACGCGCGCCGCCGGTCCGCCATACCCGTCCAAGGCTGGCCGCCCGCCGCCCGCGGCCCGAGCCTCCTGCGTGCGCCTTGCTCCGCGCCTCGGTGCGGGCCCGCGGCTGCCCAGGCGCGACTGCAGCCCGGGGAGGGCGGGGCGCGCGGGGCGGGGCGCGCGGCGGGGCGGGGCCGGGGCGGGCCGGGGCGGGGTCTCCAGGCGGCTGCAGGCAGCTCAACCACCAGCTACAAAGGACCAGGGGGCGGGGACCGCGGCTGGGGCGTGCAAGGATGGTGACGTGCAGGAGCCGCAGCACAGAGGGCGGGCGGCCGAACCGCAGTGCCCTCGACGCACCCCCACTCCCCGCCCCCAGGCGGAGCGCAGGGCGCGAGCGGAAGGAGGGGTGTAGAGCATGCACACACACACACACACTCTAGAGGCACACATAGGTTCTTACCCGCACACCAGACAATTACACCACATTACCCCAAACACGTGAGAAATGTACAACATGCTGGTACACACAAGTCAATTTTACGCACGCTCCGTCCCAGACACCCAGGCTCGTTCCCGCACACCGTAGACAATTTTGCACACATATACACATATATGATTGGACACAATCCAAGCATTCTCTCTCTCTCTCTCTCTCTCTCTCTCTCTCTCTCTCTC